ATTAGCATCTAAAGCATTTGTCCCAGTTAAGGTCAATCATCAGACACAGACATGGACCGTGTTCACATAAACTAACATCATTTAAGAAATAAACCCCCAGCAACAGTCAAACATGGTGGTGTTAGTATGATGGCCCTGAGCTGGTTCGGACTGCTTTGTCAATAAAAATCAGCAGAGATGTGTGATAAAGAACCCTTAGAGTGCATCAGTGTAATCAGAGTGAAAAAACTTTGCTCGGCATGAAATCATACATAAGGCAAAACACTAGAGGAGTTGGGCATCAATAACCAATCAGAACCGGTTCTAACCTTTCAATTGTTGTAGAATCATTAAAATTAAAATTTAATTTTCCTAGTTTTGATGCACAGTCAGCCGACCGGAAATAGAAGCCGCCTAATATGAAAGAAGGCTCAGGTGTGACTCCATAATCAGCTGTTTGTGCCCTGGCATTCCAAAGTGTGGCTTAACGCTATTACAGAAATGACCAGTTGGCTATGTGCAATACTTATATTGTATTTATATTTTGCAATGGACGGAGCATGGCTGACATAATTAAACACCACCTTACTCAGGATTAGAGCCTTGTCCTTGACCTGGTGTTGTAAGGTACTTTTTTTTATCCTATTACTTTATGTCTTAACAGATACTCGTCCTGGTTCCTGCAGTACATGTAAGCATTGTGGATAAAATGAAAAGCACTTTATTCTTGATCAGCAAAATTGATAAATAATTTTGAGTATAACTTCATCCATTGTTTTTATGGCTACGACTGACCATTATTTTGTTAATCAATTGTCGATTATTTTTCGATTAATTGATTAAAAATAGCAATTAGCAGGAATAGCAAAAGGTTCATTAAAGAAGTCTTTTTATTAAATGAAATCAGGTGAAACTAAAACTTTTCCACTTGAGGAATTCTCATTAGAGCATATTGACAAACATTTTTTTTTTAGTGTTTGAATCCTAAATGCAAAATGTTTACATATCTTTTTTTTTTTTTACAAAATTGGTATAATTGATGGTCAAGGTGGGTTGCTTTGTCAGCTCAGGACATTTTTTACAGTCTCTACACTCGGGTAAACGATTAATTGATTACTCAATTAGTTGACAATTACTTCAACAATCGATTAATCAAGTATAATTTTTTCAGCAATAATTATTTGTTTTAGTTCATTTGTGATACAACGCTGAACAACGCTGAGGATATATATTCTGTTGGGACAAATTCCTGCCTCACCGTTTTATTCCTTCACCTCCAACCAAGCGTAGCATCAAAGTCAGAATCAGGTAAATACTGTACATGAAGCATCTCCAGCATTAGGGCTGCATGGCAGCATTAGACATTAGACATGTTAAAATGTTAATGATGTTTTCAATAAACGCTCCATATCATAGTGCATCTCATAAAAAAAATTCATATTAATGTTAAAGGTTGTGATATTGTTAAGCTGGTTCAAAATAACTGATTTGTAGTAATGTTTTCACAAAATTGGAAGTTCAAGGAATTAAATCTCAGAGTTGTTCAGACCATTTTATTTAGACAGAACTTTGGTTAACTAATGTAAAGAATCGTTACCGACAATAGTTTGTAACCAGAAGTGAAATCCGAACATTCAAATGTGTTCAAATTCAAATAATGTCCAAAACAAAAGCCATCAAAAAATGTAATATATATATATATATATATATATATATATATATATATATATATATATATATATATATATATATATATATATATATACACACACATATATATATATGCACACATTAAGATTATAAGAAAGAAATTCAGATTTGCTAAATCAGATATTTTGTCTACCTGTAGATATCAAAATTAAAAAAACTATTACCAGTACAGAAACAGCAAAACCTGATTCAATCTTTCCAGATTCCTGAAGCTGGCAACACCAGCTCTCAGTTTACAAACTACTTCTCTTGTAAGAGCAAATGCCAAGCAGCTGCCCTGCTGGAAAATAAACGTACCTGACCGTAACAAATGATTAAAGGGCACACATTTATTTTCATTGTGTCTGACCATTATTCAAATGGCCGAATAGTTTGACAAATCACATTTATGTAGAAGACTGAGGTGAGTTTTGGTTGCAGAAAACCACATTTAGTGTGAACAAAAACAGGGTGGAGGCATTGCAGTGGCATTGTACAGGGCAGCCAAAGAGTAATGGTGTTTTGGCTTCACTGTAGACATGAGGTCAGGAGGGAAAAATTCACTCACATGGACGTGGGACATCCGAGAAGGAAGTCTGCGGAACTGTGCGCAAGTGTGTCTCTGTGGATGTTTGCATGCCATAAGAGAGGAAGACTAAGAAAAACAGCTTGATGGGAGGGGTGGATGGCAACCACGACCACGGAAGAATTTATGGAGGATCTCTAATCAAAAATGCCAGCTGACAACAGGAGACGCTTACAGGAAAAGATTTTCAGAAGCCAACCTCATGGCATTCAAAAACGGTCTCTGTAAATCCCAAAAGGCTTATTAGGAGGAACGAGGGAAGAAACAGAGAGGCACTAAAACGTCCTGGCATTTCCCCTGATTACAATCACTTGTTTTGTTTGTACAGTGCTCGCTTGATGGAGGTGAACACAGTGCAAAGATTGTGCTTTTGGAATAAACAAACCATTTGGGATACAGGACATTTGTGGTTTTTCATGCATAAAAGAAGCAAATATGCACATCAAAAGACTAAGTCTAAAAGGTCTGGAAAAGCAGATCTGTGTTTTTATACCTCTCCACCACCAGCTGCAGAGTGGTCTTGGATTTCTTGATTTTGTTCTGGGCCTCCACATTCAGCATGTCCTCTGTGTTTTCACCATTGATTTCCAGGATGATATCGCCGGCTTTCAGGTTTGCTTGCTCTGCTTTGCTGCCTGCATTGACCTGTTCAGAAGGATAAGGTCCAGTTACTGCCCCAGGTAATCAAGATATACACCATGTGATAAACCTTAACAGGATTCTCTACATGAGTGAGTCATCCAAGGAATTTGTCATAATCAATAGAAAAGTTTGCAAATGAGAAGCTCTGTGCCCATTACATTGTTTACTAAGAAGAACATACACATAGAGTATAAATGCATTGTGTAAATCAACAGTGTAAGCATTTGTGAGAAGAAATCCTTCTTGCGACACTTATTCATGGCTTGTGAGGGTCTGACCTCTGCTAAAAGCATCATTGCTTGTAAAATTCAATATTCCACGACCAAAAGAGATTTTCAGATTATGTGCCATTACATATTATCAGTACTTACACAGATCTCTAATAAATCAATTAAACTGATGTCAAAATAATCAGTATATCGACATAGTCTTTAAAAAAAACCTGCATCATCTGAACTTCATAACATTTTCAATGGTTTGTTTAACTACATCCAAAGTTGTATGATGCATCTCGAAATTGTCAACAGAGTAATATTAAAACATGCAGAATGCATACTGTCACTGAATGGAGTGCACTAAATGTTATGTGAATAGCACGCAATCACGCTCTCTACAGCTAAAATAAATTCAAAGGAAATTGTTTTTTTCATGTGGTATCCAATGATGAAGGTTAAGATGGTGAAACCATTGAATTACAAGTTTTTTCTAGCAGCCTACTACTCATGTTTACAGGTCCATCAGAAAGGTATCACCACTATTTGGTAATTTATTTTATCTTTAGCAACCTATATAGTTATTGTGACACTGGTCAATAATATTGCAAGCTTTCCTACGCAATATTGCACAGCTCTAGCTACAAAATAAAAAAACAAAAGAAAACAATTTTATCTATAAAGGCAGCATGAAGTTGTGCATGACTGTAATGTAGAAGACAAATTATGTGTTTTCTATGTAAAGCATTAAATTCATTATATTTACTAAACTTTACAATTAATTGAAGTTGAAAGAATGAAATGAGTTAAGGTAGAAAGGACCAGTTAGCATTCAGTTTGTCCTTGATTTTAGACAAATGTAAGGCCAAAAGTGCTATAACTCTGGGCCACTTGAAAGGCTAACAAGTGTCGCTATGGTGACCGACAATGGCACACGTCTTCTCCAATCAGAATAAGCCTGAAATCACACAATCAAAGATCAACTAAAGGTTATTTTACAAAGTCTGGGCTACAGGGAAAGCAGAGGTAAGCCATCTTTCAGGTTTATAGAATAAAGAGGGTGTGCATGTCAACACTAAGCCAGCTCCTACAGCTTAAACTCCTTAAGATGGCGGAAGAACAAATCATGTTAAGCTCAAGTATTTTCTATGAAAGTTTTTCAAAACCTTTTCTGAGAACCTGATTATTTACCAGTGCATAAATTTTTTGACAATGTATGATTTAGCATGAGCAAATGGTGAATGCTTTTACAGTTTCAGTTTTTTCTTTTTATTTAAAAAGGAGCATAGTCACGTAATATGACATTTTATAACTTTAAATGCCAATAGCTCACACTGGTTGCATATAGGTTTTTCTGAAAGGTTACTGCATCCAGCTGGCATATATTAAATTAAGCTCTTTGTGTATATTTACTAGAATGGAGGGACCAAAAAAAATTACTTGGCGGCTTTGTAAGACCAGGATGTGCAGCAGGCAGGTGACGGTGCCACAGTTTTCAAAAAATGAGTCAGAGTAGGGTTTCCGCATCCTTTTTAACTTCACTGTCTGCTTACTCGGAAAATATCTGTTTTTCATAATCCACCACTCATATAATCTAACTGAGAATATGCATTTAGTTAAAGCATCAACATGCACACTGTACAGTGCACTACATTTAAATCTTAATAAGAGTTTTTTTCTTAAAATAAATGCATTCTTTGTTGAATTGAGGTACGTGAAACACTTTGCAAATGGAACAAGACAAATCATTGCATTGTTTTATTTCAAGTGCATATTATCTAAAGTAAATATACTAATTCCTTTGTCAAATCATCTTATTTACCTACTCACATAAACTTTAATAAAGTTAATTTAATACATTTTTACTTATTTCTAGATCGTTTTTGCAGTGCATGCACAAAATACCCAAAATCTGATCCCAAAACATTCTCCTGTTCGGACCAAGCATTCTTCACCTTCCACCTCAGCTTCCACTGTAAGTGTAATCAGTGGTTTCCTTCTAATACAATCCACATCCACCTTATTCTAACACATCCAGTATTTAAGGAAATGGGTAGGACACACCAATAGGAAAAAACAAGCAGATAAAATGAGAAAGTTTCCACTGAATGGTATGCCATTATGAGGTGTATTTTCTTAGAAAACAGAGGATATTACCTTTAAACTAAGACAAATTTAAGTAAAATTAGTAACCCGGAGGTACCTTTGACACGGTAATGGCCGTTTTGAAGTCTCTTCCTCCATTTATTCGGAAGCCCCATGGAGCAGGCCCGCTCAAGTTCAATGTTAGTGCCATTGAAAGATCTGATCAACGGAGGCTTAGGTCCACCCCTGGGAAAAAAACAAGGAGACAACCAACATGACATTAGGTGCAAGTGATGTGCCGCACTGCAGCTTGTGTACAGCTCAACATTATCATCAGTCACATTTCTTTCAGCATTAGATCCAATAGTGAAGACAGTAAACATTTGCACAAGCTTCTTTTATCTCAGCACCACTTCACTTTGACTGGATTCAGTCCCCTTGACGTGGATGGTGTAAATCAAACACCAAAAAGGAATGGGAAGAATCTCAAACCAAAGACACATGACTAACGTTGCACAAGTGTCTGCAGAGCGATATGCTTTCATTAACTCAAACTGCTCCTTTGAGGCAGAGAAAGTAAATAAAATCATGCAGGAATTTTGTAAACCAAGTGAAACATTTTACCTTCATCCATTTTACACACGTCTGTTTATTCAACATACAGCAGTGTAGGGTATAATGATATGGCATGCATCACATATGGTAGCATTTCAAGACACGAAAGGCTCGTGCAATGGAAACAAACTGGATTTGTTCAACAATTTGAATGGTGGGCATTTTCACCATCATTTACAGATTCCTGTAACATATTGCATTTAGATATGTTCGAAGTGCAGACATAACTTAAAGTCAAAAACTCAAAAGATGGAAAGCATTAAATATAAATCATATTCGGTTTATCCTTTAGCTGTTAAAGGAGATAATTTCAAAACACTTTTCTGATAAAAACTTCTCTTTGGAGTCACTAGCTTGAAGAGAGAAATACACCCTCATGTACAGAAGATGCTGTTATGATGGTAACGACTAAAATTGCTTGCCTTTAATCACAGAATAGATGGATTTTTAAATTTAAAAAAAAGGTGGTATGACCGCATATTGGTGACACACATGTAGTGAAACCTGTTTGCTAAAGGCATTGTATTTGGAGTTTAATAAAGTGCAATGTCAGCATATAGTTAGTGAAGGATGCATTTCTTCTTGCCCACAAAAATGTCTCCTTGTGGGGAAATAAAACTTTCTGACACAGGACCATTAAGCAACTGGAATCTTTGATTTAAGATTAGTTGACACATGGGCCGCTACAGAGAGCTGAAGGAGGGATTCAACATCATTGTGACTATTAGCGTTTTTTAAAAGGAAGGTTTATCAAGCAAGAAAACATACTTTTTGCAACAACTTCCACTTTCATGCATCCTCTTTACTACATTTAATCTGCTGACATCCACAGACCACATTAGATTAATGGCTGCTGTTTAAAAACAATGATGTCGCCTGTTTAGCCGTGACAACTGCTTTCAGATATGACTGTTTAATTCTCTATGTCTCAGATGAAGGAGCAACAGTCTTTCAGTTACAATATTTTGAGTTTCATCCGCCATATGTAAAGAATTAACTTAAAAAGGGAGGTTTTACGGGGGGGGGAGATGCCATGTCTTTAGAAAACAAACTGCAGACAGACTTAAGTTTTGAATTGCCTCTAAATAATATTTTGACTGCAACTTTAATACATATAAATCCTCATGAGTAAAAAGGCACCGAAAAGTGAGGAGTGATGAATGGCTGCAAGAATTGCTAATATAAAGCTGGTACCTCTGATGAAACCATTTTTCGGGAGTACAGTAATATGCCAACACATGTCTGAGCACATCCATAAAACCATGATGGTCACAACCAGAGCAGAAACTGAATTTTAGCTTCTTCTTTTTCCCCACAACAGAAGGAATTTAAATTCCTCCACAGCGGTACATTTGTTAGGTCTCCAAGCAACATTTCTCTTGACTTTCTCCTCACTTCACAAATAATATAATCAATATTTAGGAATTTGAGTCATGGGTCTACTTTTGTCAGGAGTAAACATTGCGTTATAAATATTCCAGGCTCTGTGTTGTCTTCCCTCTGTTGTAACTTTTAGCAGTGTTTGGCTGCCTTGTGCATATTATTTTCTCATATTCTTTTGTTTAATTTCTCTATTCCAGTCAAGGAAATGTATATAACACATGAGTTAAAACCCTGCTTTGTAAAAGCAAACAAACATTGTTAAATTTTATCTTATAAAAGAAGAATGATCTTAAGCTGGTTTTAGAAATAATTGAAAGAAACCTCAAATGTAGAAACAGAATTAAGTTGCCTCCATGTTTTCTAGAATGTGAATGGAACATTATTCTCAATGAGACAAGTTGCATTTCTGCTGTCGGTATACAAATTTTAGTTTTAATGAAGATGACATTTCATTCTTTTAATGCCTCTTTTCTTTTTAGAAGCACAGAGTTTTGAATGTGGGCTTTAAACATTCAGTTATAAAGATTTGCATTAAATTAAAGATTGAGCCAGTGACCGAGTATAGATTTTGAGCCATCTTGAGTGGCAATATGGAATACGGATTTGTATAAAAATAAAATCCCCAATGTAACCAATGGTGAGAAGCAAAACGTGGTACAAGACAGCAAAGCATGCAAAATGCAGTTTTTCAATCAGCATTACATTTTGTGCATTTTATTTATTTATTTTTTTAATTCAGTTTAAAAAAACTTTATCCATGCAAAAAGAATATTAATTGCTTCGGTAACTCATTTTTTTCCCCCTCAAACCAGATTCAGATGTTTATTAATTCAGTCAGATGGGATGGAGATATATTTTTGCAGAATTTGGAGGGTTCTGCAGGTCAGTTGGGCTGCTTTGCTAATCACAAATGATTTTGCTCCTGGTATTCACAGTTTTTGATCTTGCAGTTTTATCTTTTTCCAAAGTGTTTAACTCTAGAAAAGAAGGAGGATATTGGTTAATTGGTTTAATACCCTTGCCCAGAATCCTCTATAGCAGCAACCCAAAGAATTGGCTGAATAGATTCAACGTAATATGTGTGACATATGCACATCAGACATCTGTCTGTATTGAATTTTTCTGTCAAACTTTTCAATTACTAACCTTTCTTGAAGAAGATTTATTAATAAATATAACTTTAGTTAAGTTTACATTTTAGAGCCTAAATGTTCTTAAACTATCAAGAATCTCAAACTGCTGCACCATCATAGTAGTCTCAAACTTTTTTTCTTCAAGTTTTTTAACAAAGTTTGTAATCAATTATATTTAATCCATCCATTTTCTCCCTCTTAGTCCTTGTCAGGGTCGCGGTTGGGTCGGTGCCTATCTCCAGTCTATGGGCGACAGACATACACCCAGGACAGATCGCCAGTCTGTTGCAGGGCACCACAGAGACATGCAAAGACACTCAACCATGCATACACACACTCATAACTACCGTAATTTCACTTTAGAGAAGCCAATTAACAGAGAGAATTCACACATGCACAGGGAGAACATGCAAACTCCATGCAGAAAGACCCTGGGCCAGGAATCAAACCCAGAACGTGCTGCAGTAAGGCAGTCCAGATGCAGAACAGATCAGTGACATGCTGTTTACCTTATGGGGGAGTGGTGGCCTAGTGGTTGGGGTACAAGGACAGTGTTACCCACTGCGTCACCGTGCAGCCCATATAATTATATTTCCATTTAGTTCAGTTTTCTTTTCATAAAACTCTATTTGGACTGTGGCCAATTTGATTTACTGACAAATAGCCAGAGTGGCTAAAAAGTTTGGAACCCTTCAGTGTTTGGTAAACAAAGGTAACACCAAAACTTTAACACATTTTTAAAACTAATCCTACAACAAGAGGAAAGAGTATAACAAAAATACAGAAAACTCCAAACTTCAACAAGTATGCACTTTCCATTTCATCTGGTTTTTTTTTAACAGCAAGAAACTACATTTAAATGCTGTGCAATTTCCTTTTTTAACCATTCAGCTTCCAAACTATTTAAATGTAAGCATAATTCATCATCATTATTTAATTATTACCTTCTGCTTCAGTTCATTCATTTGGCAAATTATTCTAATTTTAGTTTTGTGCTGCTTTTCAGCACTGTTGTGCTGCATTTACATTCCAAACATTACAGTAGGTTATGCTTAATCTAAATATGCTATCAGCAGAAAAAGGAAATGAAATGAAAACAGATGGAAAGATTATTTAGATGAAGAATGACTAATAGTGAAAATAGAACATTGAGGGAAAAATGCATTTTGAAATATAGATTTTTAGAAAAACTGGACAGTTTTTGGCAGGAATCCTCCCAAAAGCATAAGAGTATCAGGAGCCTTCCAAATACAGAGCATAAAAACAAGACATTTGTTAAATGTTAGTCTGGTTGTTTTTTGTTCTAATGGCAAAAAATTATTTAGTTTTCCAATAACAAGGGATGCTTTTTATTCATACCTGCACTATCTGATCTAAAAAGTATGACAACATTAAAAAGGTAATTTCGGCAAGGTACTAAAACTGCTTCTTCTGATGTCATTTAGAAGAAGGAGTCTAAACATTTAATAGTTAGAGTTTAAAGAGCACATTCTTTGCAACAAACATTCTTTGCATAGTATTATCATTCAGGTTGTGCAAATCAAGCCAGATTTACTAAAATCTGTATGAAAAAGGGGACTATAAATGTATTAAAAATGTGTGAATTTTGTGTAATTTTGCTGCAAAGAGCTGAAACTGTTGTTCTTTAGCTGTAACTTATAATTAGCCTGTCATCTTTTTTCAGCTCTGTTAATTGTTGTGATGATGGTATAAGTGCTGCAGGTACTGAAGATATACACATTAGCAGTCAAAGTCATGCATGCAGACAGTTGTGACCATGCCTGATATTATTCTACAAAAAAAGGCGTGTTATTTTCTGCCAACTTAATGTGTAGGTGCACACAGATGAGGCCATAAGCCTTCCTAATTATAGACCGAATGAATGCAGAAAGTCACCTGACATCCAAACAGTTTTTAAGTTAAACCCTGCCTCAGTCTTTTTTCAAATAAACGTACAATCAAAAAAGAAGGATTTTCTTTCTATAGAAAGACAATAGTTGTTTTCTTTCTAAAGGTAAATATAGGCAATCTAATAGTTAACTGAAATGGGTATATGTTTTAAAGTAAATGGTAATGTTATGTTGGAATAATATAAATTCCGTATATGAATTTATC